CATACGGAATCGGATGCTTTTCCATCCTTTCAACAACTCGTGCAAATTTCCTCTGCCAAATACATACGCGAGTGATATTGTGGTGAGTACTCATTGTTCTGTTCCAATGTTTCCATGTAAGCCGAAATTACGGAGTAGAAGGTTACGGTAGGAAAATTGGGTGGAGTAAAATTGAGACTGACGGTCGCAGGACCAAGGTGAAGAGTTTTGTAGCATGCATTCCAGACATGAAAAATCCCCTTTTTCTCAGGCTTGAGGCCAATTGGGTCTTTGATCCTTTCTGGAGAGACTCTTGAACACTAAATACTTGTTTTATTTTCAAAAGTATATACTTGTTCCATTTTAAAAGCTATTCTCCAGAATGCAAATTTTCTTAGGCTAAGGCGTAGAGGACGGGAGATAGAATTGAGCTCAATCTTTACAATTGCTGTAATCCATCGCACTACCACCTAAGCGATCCTCCCTCATCTGATGATTTATCAATAAAATATATTTTTATTAATATATATATATATGTCTACCTCTTTTTCCTTGTCACGTTTTTCTTGTCTTAAACGCTTACTCTTCTATGTCTCTGTGCCACTGTCCTTCTTCTTTTTCTCTCTTATCGTAGTTAACTTTACCAGACTCTTACCAGACTCACCAGAGAGATTTATCTCATTTCGTTGAGTTTCGATCTCTCACATCTCTGTTTCTTTTCACAATCCGCAGTTTCATATGAAACTTGGCCCACTTCTGAAGGCCTTGCGTCCGAGAAAAAAGTTCCAAAGAACGGTGGGAGAGGAAGAAGGCCAAAAAATGTATGCCTTTCTTAGAGATGGCACGTCAGCGAAAGAATGCGCCAGCTGAAGTGCCCATATGAAGATTTTGACATGGCCACAATGGACAGTGAAGGATATATGTACGTTCATCCACACTTCACAAGGTATCCAAACATCACCGATGATGTTAAATGCAAGGTAAACTCAGCAATTTATTCTATCGAGATTTATCACTTGTTTAACGATTTATGATTAGTATTCAGGTAGTGTTTATTGAAGGAGGACTACGAAACAATGTGACGAATGAAGGATCCACGAAAATTATTGAAGTAGCCACAGTTGAGGTCCATTAACTGATTTTCACAGTTTGCTAGAATATTTATAATGGACGGTATGGGCACGCGGAGCACAAACTGCAGAGTAGTGGGTTGGCATAAGGCGAGCCGCACGTCATCAAGCTCTTTGGTCAAACAGCTGGTACCTTTCTTACCCTGCAGGACAGTGTCCCAGGTTAAACTCCAAAAAAACGACGTAGCCATCATTGGCTGCCTTCAGAGTTCACCGATGTGCCTTCCATGCGTGCGTCCGATAGGGGCATCCCGCCCACCGACCGAAAACAAGTTGACATCGGCCACTTGTTGACAACACTGATCTATCGGCGTCCAATGTTGTCAACACATAGCCAACATCACCGTCGGCCAGTCGGTCAGTCAGACGTACGGTCAGACGTGCGCAAGGAGGGCCCACCGATGAACTCTGAAAGCAGACATGGTGGTAGTGGAAGTCCAGGTTAAACAGTGTCTTTTTTTCTCAGAGTGCCCACAATTTTCAAGCTCATGTAAGAAATGTCTCAAACGATTTGTTCCAAATTCTCCGCTCATACTCGTTACTCGTCCAAGATGCAATCGCTCGGTTTCAGGCCCCAGAAAACACCCGATTCTATGCAAACGCTGATGCATTCTACATTCGTTGTCATCAAAAAAACAAACAAATATTCGAGAAGGTTTTTGCTGGAATGAGAGATTTCAATAAACAGAAGAATAAGGTCAGAAGGCTGAACGTTGTGATTGAATAAAGGTGGCTTTTGGAAACCTAAACAGCTGCTTCCATTTTTCAGATTTATATTTCGGAAGATACAGAGTCGTTTGACCATTTTGGAGGAAAACGAAAAAAGCCTCCAATAATCGACAAACCGAAGCGTTTTTCTATTGACATCCTGGCTTTTGATTCAACTTCAAGAACAATGTTTATGAGACATATGCCTCGGACAGTGGATCTGATGGATAAACTTGGTTACGAGATACTCTACGGATACAACAAGGTACGCTGTTTCATTGTGAATGCCCTTCTCATAAATGTTTGCTATGAAGACCTGCGGGCCAGGAGGTGCCGCCGCAGCAGCGGAATTAATCTCCGCGCGCGAAACTGGGTCAGCGTGAGACGCGCTGCAATGCATATGCCACACGCGATGAGCTTCGTGATGTTTTTGGTTCTGTTTATTTCCAGAATTCACATTTTCAATTTAATCTGATTGAGCATTTATTTTAAGGTTGGAGACAATTCAATGGTGAACCTTCTGCCAATACTCGTCGGTGATATTCCAGAAGCTCTTGCAGAGCCAGTGAAGGATTCTAGCGGTGATGTCAATACACAATGGATCTTGCCAACAAAGAAAAAGTTGGACCCATCACAACTACCGTTTCTATGGAAAATAATGCAAGAAAGTTAGTTTGGCAGTAAGTTCGTGATAGATACATCTCAGCACTGTTGCAGAATTCGGTTGTCGAACGATGTTCAACGACGATATTGCCGATGTATCTCGTGGGCTCTTTCACTATCCTGGCAATGAGTTCAAGCCAGGTTTCACTTCGCAACCAGCAGATCATTACTATAGAGCCTACTATATTGCTATATTTAAGGTAGATTTTTACTGAAAACTTTTTTTTTTATATTTTTGTATTTCTTCATGAAATTTCCTTTATGAAAGCGCTTTTGGACCTCTATATATCTACAAACTCCCTACACGCAACATTCAGATGCGTTATAGAATACAAACCTTCACGAATATCGGCCAGTAATTTCTGGAAGTTTCCTACATTTATCACTATATGGCTCCTGCCTTATACATGTGCCAGCCGATGATGATGTTATGACATTTTGAAGTTCTGCCTTCCAGAAATGGGTCTATACAGTTTGCAAAGACGGTGATCAGATCCAACGGGAGTTCGTTGACTTATGGCGACGATTCGCTCACCGATACAAGAAGATATGTCATTTCGGATTCACTTTCATAACCAGGTACGGAATGAAACGTTCGCGGTTGACGGGTTGTGTGGGAGATGGCTGGAAAACACCTCTTTTCTGGTAATCTGCGGTCTATCGCTCTTCTGAATAATTTGGAACTTGTGACCGTTAATTTAGTCGCAGCTGCCTCAAGAAGCCTTAAAAGAGCGCCTTTCTTGAACGTACAAAACTGGATATCGTTCAAAGGTGTAGCAAAAAAATTGTGGATTTGGGTAACAGGAATTACTAATATTTTCTGCGGTCGTTGAGATGAATTTCAGTCGATCAATCGAGTGTTCTCAT